ATTGGTACTGTTGGTACAATATTTGCTACCAGGAAGTACCCTACCGCCTTAAAAGGTCCCAACCAATTTGAATCAGCTCCCAGCCGTCTGACCCACCCCAGACCCCAACTGCCATTTGCTATTCACATGTGTGGAAGGATACCCCCACAGAAAACTATTGGAAACCAGAGGGGTCAGTTGAGAGCGACAACGCTATGCCGCCCGGAGAGATCAGGCCCCCGGCCAATCTCCGGACACTTAGCCTCCTGGCGGGCCTCCAGGGGGTCTGAGGCGGGGCTGAAGGCTGCAGTCGGTCTACTGACGGGCCCGGCCGGCAGGATCCGTCGAGAAACAGGGGGGTCAAGGGAGGTTTTCTTCCCCCTGGGAGAAATGTCCTATGGGTTTTTGGATCTGCGATATAAAAAAGTCTTGTCTCGGTCACGTGATGTGTCACGTGACCGGACGGGTGAGCCTGTCAGCCGGGGTCACGGCCCCTGTCAGCCGGCTGACATGTCACGGGGCCTGCTGACACGGTCCGCTGACCGGTCACGGCCGCCCGGAGAGATCAGGCCCCCGGCCAATCTCCGGACACTTAGCCTCCTGGCGGGCCTCCAGGGGGTCTGAGGCGGGGCTGAAGGCTGCAGTCGGTCTACTGACGGGCCCGGCCGGCAGGATCCGTCGAGAAACAGGGGGGTCAAGGGAGGTTTTCTTTCCCCCTGGGAGAAATGTCCTATGGGTTTTTGGATCTGCGATATAAAAAAGTCTTGTCTCGGTCACGTGATGTGTCACGTGACCGGTCAGGTGAGCCTGTCAGCCGGGTCACGGCCCCTGTCAGCCGGCTGACATGTCACGGGCCTGCTGACACGGTCCGCTGACCGGTCACGGCCGCCCGGAGAGATCAGGCCCCCGGCCAATCTCCGGACACTTAGCCTCCTGGCGGGCCTCCAGGGGGTCTGAGGCGGGGCTGAAGGCTGCAGTCGGTCTACTGACGGGCCCGGCCGGCAGGATCCGTCGAGAAACAGGGGGGTCAAGGGAGGTTTTCTTCCCCCTGGGAGAAATGTCCTATGGGTTTTTGGATCTGCGATATAAAAAAGTCTTGTCTCGGTCACGTGATGTGTCACGTGACCGGTCAGGTGAGCCTGTCAGCCGGGTCACGGCCCCTGTCAGCCGGCTGACATGTCACGGGCCTGCTGACACGGTCCGCTGACCGGTCACGGCCGCCCGGAGAGATCAGGCCCCCGGCCAATCTCCGGACACTTAGCCTCCTGGCGGGCCTCCAGGGGGTCTGAGGCGGGGCTGAAGGCTGCAGTCGGTCTACTGACGGGCCCGGCCGGCAGGATCCGTCGAGAAACAGGGGGGTCAAGGGAGGTTTTCTTCCCCCTGGGAGAAATGTCCTATGGGTTTTTGGATCTGCGATATAAAAAAGTCTTGTCTCGGTCACGTGATGTGTCACGTGACCGGTCAGGTGAGCCTGTCAGCCGGGTCACGGCCCCTGTCAGCCGGCTGACATAGCGTTGCCGTTCCGTATCCTTGTCGGATCAGTTAACCAGGGTGGTTCTCATAGTAGTTTTAGTCAAATTCAAGCGGCAAGAGAAAATTGACCTAAAAATGTTGGCTCCGTCAATTTATGTACCTTTTTCGTTGCCAGGGCTGCCGGGCCATCCAAGACAAGAAGGGCAATGTTGAGCAAAACCTTCCTCTATTTGATATGAATAGGCGTGTATAGTTGACTAAATAATCATGAGGAGGCTCGGGGTAGGTATTCAAATGATTTGAATCTTTCCAACGGCCTCCAGCCCGTGTTGAGGGGTAGGGGGTAGTGCAAACTTCTCGTATCAATCTAAAACACTTGTAAACGACCTCACACTTGCCCCGTCTCTTCCCTATCCCACTACTCCCAATGTACTCAGGGACTGTTTGCTCAGCTGCTGAGCGCAGTCAAGGACCATGGCCCCTCAATGCTAACTCCTGAAACTGCCAGGCAAGTACTGAGATCAAACAGCTCAATTCTTGGCTGAGAATCACACCTATAGTAGGTTGAGGGTGTTGCATCTCATCGAAATTTGCACTTGCGTACCAAAGCACTCATCAGCTATAGGTGATGGTTGTTCACTTCCAGAAGAAGGGAAACATGAAGGGAACCGATCAGAGAAGCAACCTTCGAAGACATGAAGGAAATTCGATTCTCCTTGTTGTGTTGACGCCCTAGCTTCCTTTACCTGAATGCTTCGTCGGTTGAAAAAGAAACACATTTCAAGAGACTTCCTGTTGCTTTGCCATGATTGCGTTTTTTGAGGCTTCTCCCAACCTATTGTAATATGGCGGTGTCATTTGTGAGGAGGTGAGGAGTTTGAGAGGCTGGGGGAAGGAGAGGGGAGGGGTTGGAAGGGAAATGGACGCCTGGGAGGCCAGGCTAGTTGATATGCCTGATCGCTGCGAGAGGAGATGCCGGAGGAGAGACCGTGTTTACTCAAGACCACTAGCGAGGAAGGCAGGAGGGCGAGGAGGACATGAGAGGAGAGGAAGGAGAAAGCTACGGGTAGAGACGGTTTACTTGACAGCACTAATGAGGAAGGGATGCTTCAGAGCCTCCAGTGCTGTAATCCTCGTGCGGGGATCGATGTTGAGGCAGCAGTTGAGGAAGTCCCAGATCGCATGTTTCTCATCCACCTCCAGCCAGTCCTTGCATCCCGCATGCGCGCCCAGGGAGCTTGACAAGGTCCGCCATGTTTGCTTGAAACCGCGGGCATAGCTGAGATGCAGTTCCAATGGTGGAATCTGAATGACATCAAGTTAGCAACCTCAGGCCTCCCGCCACCATATCATCCTCATCCTCATCCTCTTGATACAACAACGCCGACGACAACAATTTTACCTTAACGTCGAGGAGCTTCCACACAGCATCCATGCTCTTGATGTACATGCGCAAGCTGCTCAGACAGTCAGACAAGCGCACTTCCAAGGTACACAAAGAGCGTACCCGTAGATCTCCATCGTTGCCGTGACTATGTCGTTATACTGGAACCATTGGAACTGTGTCGTGCGGCACAGCAGGGTAAGCAGTACTACCCCAGCAGCCCACACGTCCACTGCTGTGGTCTGGCACTGCATGCCCATGAGCACTTCGGGCGCTCGGTATCCCCGAGTTCCCGCGCGTTTGACTGGACGTTCGAATTTGACCCCTGAGTTCCTCACTGTCACCGATGCGTTCGTCTTGCTGACGCCCAACATGATCCGCCTCTTCGCCATCTGCTGCGCCATCTCTAGCTTCTCCTGCTCCTTTTGATTCCGCGAGGAGCGAGAGCTGGCCGTAGAAACCTCACAGGGCAAGATGTTGCCGATGCTGCGGCCTGATGACTGCATTTGTTTCTCTGCCAGCCCAAAGTCCACAAGCAAGTACTTCTTATTCCTTCTGTCGTAGAGGAAGTTATTCAATTTCACGTCTCGATGTATAATAAATGTATAATGTATAAGACAGTTCTTGCTCAAGACCGAGTTTAATGCACACTGTGACACGAAACCACTGAGAATTGAGGCAGCACTGCACATGAGAGACTCCCGACTGTATGCTAGAATATGAAACAGGCTCAAACTTAACTTTGAGTAAAGCTCAAGCATCATTGCAACGCCGCCGCTGTTCCGATGACACGGACCGGGTACGGCCCGGTACCGCCGGGCATTGCCGCCGCGTGGGGCCGCCCGGCCTGGCTCGGAACTTGACTCTCACCGTTCAACGGTTGACTCACCGGCTACGGTAGCCTTGAAGCCTCAGAGGTCCCGGAGAGTCCGGCTCGCCCGGCCGGGCGGCGGTCGCCGGGACCTTGAGTTTTCAGCCTGTGTTCAATTAACTCAGCGGGGCTATCTGATCGGACTGGCCGCATGGCTGGCATGCTGATCCCGGCATTAATCAGCAGTGCCGACGGTCGGACCGTCTCACTGAGCCTCCGCCGGGCCGGGCGGCGGCGGCGGCGGCGGCGGCGCCGGGCGGAGCCCGAGCCTGGCAGTCACTCAGCGGCTGAGTCACTGTGCCGCGCCAGCCCGGGGCTGACTCAGTGACTCGGCCTTGGAACCGTCACGGTGCCTGCTTGCCAGCGCCGGGGCGGCCCCGGGTACTCAGGGTAGCCTGAGTCACAACTTGAACAGTCGGAGGTCAACATAACTTAACATAACATGGCATGCCAGGCTTCAGTCGGAACTTCGGAACTTGGAACACTCAGTGCGCCCGAAATGATTCAGGGCCACAAAAAATATTTCACTGTGGAACAACTTGAAAATTGAGGGGGTGTTCGGCCTGAAATCTACATGGAACAACTTGAAAATTGAGGGGGTGTATCGCCGCCGATAAGTTCTTGGAGACGGCGAGAAGTTCAGGGTATTGCGTCTCATTGGTAGACGAAGCTCAGCGACTCAGATGGAAGTGGGCTTTGACATAGGTCTGGAATTAAGTCGGAATCGACGAGCCTGAGGGTCCCGGCAGTGAAAAGGGGGTGCCACGGTGAGGAGGACACGTGTCCAGGGCGCTGTGCATTGTACTTGCCGTCACTGGAGTCACGGTGCCAGCCTTGCAAGGGACTGAAGGGGAGGTGACTGCTGTGAATAAAGGAAGTGTTGGTGGTGTTGTGTGGTTCTTCTGAGAGTTCTATCATCATCAGTGAAGGTGTTAGAGACTGCACAGCTGTGTATCGTATATAGTTTGGAGCAAGTCCAACCTACATGGAACAACTTGAAAATTGAGGGGGTGTTCGGCCTGAAATCATTGTGTGTCACGCTCCTGCGGCCTGAAATCATTGTGTGTCACGCTCCTCCAAGTTTCAAGTTGTTCCATATAGTTTGGAGCAAGTCCAAGTTGTTCCATATAGTTTGGAGCAAGTCCAACCTACATGGAACAACTTGAAAATTGAGGGGGTGTTCAGCCTGAAATCATTGTGTGTCACGCTCCTCCAAGTTTCAAGTTGTTCCATATAGTTTGGAGCAAGTCCAACCTACATGGAACAACTTGAAAATTGAGGAGGTGTTCGGCCTGAAATCATTGTGTGTCACGCTCCTGCGGCCTGAAATCATTGTGTGTCACGCTCCTCCAAGTTTCAAGTTGTTCCATATAGTTTGGAGCAAGTCCAACCTACATGGAACAACTTGAAAATTGAGGAGGTGTTCGGCCTGAAATCATTGTGTGTCACGCTCCTGCGGCCTGAAATCTTTGTGTGTCACGCTCCCATGCCATCGCAAGTCAGCTTTGATGGCCATTATGGCCTTCACAGGCGTGGCTGGCCCTCCGAAGCTCAATCATGATGCATCGCCAATACGATATCAAATATCAAAATAAAAAATATCAATGTTGAAAGTTTCCCGCCACTGTGAACTCTGCGAAGCCGTACAGATATGAGGATGTGCAGCGTTTGACAGAGCAAGACAAGTCAGGTGAGCATTATCTCTTTTTTTCATCGAAATTATCACGGGAAGAGATCCAAATGACGTGTTCTTGATGCAGGTTGGAATGATTTGCAGCCTTTGGCAACTTGTATGAGATTGATGAACGGGTGAAGACTTTGGCAAGTGCCCAACCAATATTACAAACCGGTATCCAGGAGTACGTAGACGTACCAGTAAGCCGCCCAGCATACAAAACTCTCGAGACAATGGCTGCATACGAAGGGGTTTTCGACACATCGCAGAACTGTCCCGATGTGAAAAGGTTGTGACATGAAATGGGCACAAACAAAGATAAGTTCAGGACTCGGGAGTCGATCAGGTCTAGGCAAAATATTGACATGGTCATCTCACTGCATGGAAGAACATGCAAAACTGAAGGAAAAGCTCAACGGAAAGTTCTAAATGAACAGATACAGCGCATTTTAGCAGTCACGGTCGGAGCAGCTCGATGCTTGAAACAAAGATGATCCTCAGTACAATCGAATGATGACAAGTAAGTCCCGTGGTTCGTGAAGGATTCTTCATCCAATTCTTAAGGATGTGTTGGAACGATGAAACATTTTGCAAATCACCAATTTCATCACACTGACTGATGCATCATGTAAATATTACTGGTGTGAACTTGCATCAGATTCTGTTCATCGGATGAGCCGCTACCAAGCAGTTGATGTCACAGCAAACAAGAGAGCCGTTTTGAAGATGTTGATATTCCTGACCGTAGAGCATTCAAGATGTGGCCACATGTCACATGCTTCTTGGTTAACGCAGATACACCCTCGCCAGGCAAAAGATGGAACGTCTTCAGGATTACAGGGAGGTCGGTTGTGCTTGTACCCTGATTGTAACTCTTCTAATAAAGATATGATAACCTGAATGTGCAATTCTGTTTGTTGATTCACAGTGTTTGCGACTCGATTGCAATCATCGAGTGCTTGCTCTGTTGAACAAGGCACTCCTCTGTAGAGCCATGCGACAAGAACACTACAGTTGCACGGTAGCATTGCGACACCAAGACAGGATTGATCCGATGAACGTCTCATTTATTGATACGCAAAGGCATCACCTGCACATTGCTTCATTTCTGACTAGGTTTCTGTGCAATCGAAATCCTTGTGAAAATATCATGACAGAGGAAAAATTTGAAGCGAAACGGAAAAATCATCGAAATATGATCATAGATATAGTGATTCATGATCAACAACGGTTCTCTACAGTCATCTATGCGGGCAGGAACAGTCATCTTCTGTGCAAACGTCTCTTCATGTATCGTTGAACGGTTGAGTGCATGTAAGACTTGCCTCCATAGAAAGGTGAAGTGCATGAATCCTGACTGTAAGACTAGAAGAATTGAAAGCAAGTGATGACATGAGAACACATATCTAGACAGAAAAGTCGCTCAAGGTACAGCTGGATACAAATTTCTCACAAATCACAGTCATGCATTTGAGCGCAACGTGCAACCTACGGCAATTTGAATAAAGGGTCAATCAGAGTTGATTCTGTTCAATGGTGTATCGATTATCAATTCCTTACCTGATCATAAAAATTTCATCTTGTCTTCGAAGAATATTTGCAAGTACACCCGCGGATTGTTTGTACCTAGGGTGCTTATTCCAGTACACGATGGATGATTCAAACCTTGGCCCAACCTGTAGAGTTGAGAAAGAAGCTCGATCATCTCTTACAGGTATGATATGAGATCTTCATCTCATTTCTATCTCAGTTGGGTTGGATTCAAAGTCTCTCAATATCAAAGTTCATCCTGGTGAGTCAGGAAGGCACCATTTCATCGCTTCTTGCTCGTCCAGGGAGAGGGGGCTTGGGGAATGAGAAATGGGTGTTACCCCCACCCCCTATTGTAGAGTTTCAAACTGTTTCAAAGGTGGGTAGTTGAGGGTGCTCCATACCCACCCCACCACCCAAAATGACTCAAACGGAGGGGTTCTCGGATCCGAAGGAATCCCGCCTCCATCACCCCCTCTCATTTGAATTCAAGATGGTTCAGGCCGACCCCACATACAGGCTTGCAGTTTTCTTATGTATGCCCATATGATTTGATCGGACAGGCCCCAGGTTCAAGGGATGAAGCAATTCACCAGCATGCTTGAAGATTTTTCATGGGAGTGGGGTTATACTTGTACCGGATGTGTACAATACATAGGGGAGAACCCCGAATGGTACCAAAAGAGTACCAAAGTCACATGGTTCGGACTGTACTAACTGGTACCAAGAAATTGTACTCAAGAAGACATAGCCCTGAAAAAGTTCTGCTTGGCTCTTCGTGATTTGAATTCGGAACACGGTCGGAAGACCCACCCCGCCCCCACATGAGGCGTGGTATGCGTGGATTTGAATCTACCACCCTCACCGCGAAACGTTTTAGAGCTCCAAGGTCAATTGAGAAAGGCAACGCTATGACATGTCACGGGCCTGCTGACACGGTCCGCTGACCGGTCACGGCCGCCCGGAGAGATCAGGCCCCCGGCCAATCTCCGGACACTTAGCCTCCTGGCGGGCCTCCAGGGGGTCTGAGGCGGGGCTGAAGGCTGCAGTCGGTCTACTGACGGGCCCGGCCGGCAGGATCCGTCGAGAAACAGGGGGGTCAAGGGAGGTTTTCTTCCCCCTGGGAGAAATGTCCTATGGGTTTTTGGATCTGCGATATAAAAAAGTCTTGTCTCGGTCACGTGATGTGTCACGTGACCGGTCAGGTGAGCCTGTCAGCCGGGTCACGGCCCCTGTCAGCCGGCTGACATGTCACGGGCCTGCTGACACGGTCCGCTGACCGGTCACGGCCGCCCGGAGAGATCAGGCCCCCGGCCAATCTCCGGACACTTAGCCTCCTGGCGGGCCTCCAGGGGGTCTGAGGCGGGGCTGAAGGCTGCAGTCGGTCTACTGACGGGCCCGGCCGGCAGGATCCGTCGAGAAACAGGGGGGTCAAGGGAGGTTTTCTTCCCCCTGGGAGAAATGTCCTATGGGTTTTTGGATCTGCGATATAAAAAAGTCTTGTCTCGGTCACGTGATGTGTC